ATAACCACAAATGCACCACACGGGACTACATCGGAGTATTCCACATGTGGAGCAGAAGCCATATCGAGAATAACAATTGTAAAAGAATTCATCGGCAACCATGTAATAGTTATCGTCACTAGACTTGGTGAATCCAATAATGAGGTAATTGCGTTCCTTAAGCCATACGGAGTATCTTCTGAACTGATTAACGTTACTGTTATACTTGTGTGTTGAAAGTGAGTATATTCTAGCAAACTCACTCACAAGTGTCGGTGTGCAGTCTTCGCTACTTCCAAGTAATACCAGCATTATTGTACGATAAGGTTTCTGAATAGCGTAGCAAACGTTGTCAATTTGAGTGGGCTTTACGTTGGTAATTTCCTCGAAAGGAATCCATTTCAGTCTTAAGTATTCATTTTTGCTTTCCAAGGAGGATTTAACCAAGTTGGCAATGGCTGGATTGTTAACAGTCTCTGATGCTAACGACATGGTAACAGTTCGAATTAGAAAATTCTTTTCGAATGAACACAATGTTAGTTTTTCAACACTTGTGTTACACATCGGTTTACTATTCAATCTTATATACGAGCTTTTCAAGGCGCACCTTTAGCATTCAATTGCAGATGCAGGCAAAAAAAAAAGCGAAACTCCAAGCTTTTCAAAGGTAACAAAAAAGTGCTTTTACAGTTTAATACTTCTCTTCATTAATGAGATATAACTATTACGAAATAGAATTATTGAAAGCTGAAATTAATTCGCTAACCAAAACAGTGGTCGCAAATTTGTGTGTGCATAGACATTAGCGTTATCGTCAAGATATAATTAAGTATTTCTATCTATCACCTTAACATCCAGCACCATTTGAAAGGGGTGTTATCCCGATGTTTGGAGTCATAAATGATGCGAATAAAAAGATTGCAATACAACGTAATAATATGATAAGTAAATTTATTTATTATGATGTGACTTTACTGTATTGACTCGCTTTCGTCATTATTAGTTAGGAAACGAGAAATGACGATACTAGTAAGATTATTATTAATTTATTAATATACGATAGTTTTATGATAGTTGATGCTATAAAGGGTATTATGAATAAATTTTGTCTTCTCTTACTACAGTATTTGTAAAGTAATCGCTTGCAGAGCAAAGTTGCAAAACTGTGTCAGATTTAATATCATCGAACTTTGCCGATAGGTAAATATAAACAGTAATCATATATTTGTATCAACAAAATATATTGTGATTTGCGCGAGTATATCTCAACATTATAGTTTTTATTATAAACGTGATAATAGAAGCAATTAATGACATCGGAATAAATTGACTGTATATATCGCGGGACAGCGAAAATTGTCTACTAATTATTTAGCATTAATATATTAAACTTCAGAAAGGGACAAAACTTTGAATTATGTTTTTTTCTTAGCCGTAACAATTGCACCACATTCGGTTTACTTTCTGTTTATCTTTCTTACACTCAATCTCGTATTCTTCTTTTTAAACTTAATAGTTATTTTATTAATTATCTTAGACATGTATTATATGTTGAAATCGTTTCTAAATCTAGCAAGCGCATGGAAATAGTGGACATGACCGAGTATGTTGCCATAATAATAGTTATCTGAAACATATCGATGACTCATCTATTACTAACCACACACGATATCAGTGGATTGTGCAAAACTTCAAGATAAGCGAACAAATTATTTTTTAGAATTCGGTCTAAGCGCATAGATCATAAAGTTCAATACTGCGACAGACCAATGTATTGTTATAAACCGGTATAATAGATAACGTTTGCAATACTAATACGGGTCCGGTTCATTTGCCCGACAAAAAACTACGCAAAAAAGGATAACTTTGAAATAATGCTGGTACATATTTGTCGGGCAAATGACTGTCGGGCAAGTAAACGGTTCCCATATTTTTGTTACCTATTAAAGTGAATAGTTTTTCAGCAAGCATTCTACTGCCTAAAACGTAAGGGCATGAGGCGGCTGTAAGATGGAGCGAAAAAAAGGAATGCTCAGCATCTTTACAATATAATACCTGAAAGACGCATCAGTACACAGTCGACCTTCCCTACAGTCTCCTTCTATACAGTCCATTCCAGTTTTTTTTATAGTGATTTTCCTCCTATAGAGTCACATTATAGTGATAATCACAGTCACCCGATTCCGTTGTTACGACGTCTATATAAAACAGTCGCATATTACGAACCATAGTAATAGTATAAGCCACAAATTTACGCAGTAAGATAGTATTGAATAGTAATAGTTACATCATATAAAGTAACGACAATGAGTAAACACTTTCAAGAAATCTTTACACAATGTCCTTCCAATATCAACTGAAATAGGGAATTTTCGTTATCGTTCCCAAGGTTCGCACTTGTCAAACATTTTAGTAATTTTAACGTAGCCGTAATCAAATTTTATCCAAAAAAGAAAACTGGGTTAATATACTTTTGACAAGACAGGATTCTAACTAAGCCATGAAATTGTGGGTGAACCAAGCTATATACAAGAACTCGACACTCTTATTACTGCTGATAAAATCTCTTTTCTTTGAACAAATAGTTTGTAATTAGATATTTTGAACAGCAGTCTGATGGTATAGTATTTAGTTTTAATGATTTGCACGTCTGAACTTGATCAACCTCAAGGAAAAAAGTCAACAGAATTGCAAAGCGTGTCACATGACTTTCAATGACAGTCACGACTGTATTCTAATTGCGACACAACAAAAGTGTGGGTTGCAATTTGCTACCAATGGATTGGTATAATATTAAATTTTCTTTTAACACCCCCTAAAGTTCGATGCTGTCATATTAATATAAGATGAGACTACAGAGAAAAAAAATATAAACTGAAATATGGGTGAAACTGATTTTCCGCCTCTTAAGAATGATCTTATTCTTCGAGCCGCTCGAGGTAAAAAGCTGACTTAATAATTGATCTGATCAAATTTGCACATACAACATATCACATATATTGGCACACAAAGCGCAACCATCCATAACCTACATATCTCATCAAACGTACACATATATTTAATACAGGAGAGCCAACAGAACGAGCGCCAGTATGGATAATGCGACAAGCTGGAAGATATTTGCCAGGTTAATTGGACATTTTAATTTTACAACAGTGAGAGTAACAACTTGTCGCCAATTCCTCGCACTCGTCATTGCACGAATTTCTTCATCTTTACTTATTCACCCGTTTCCATAATAGAGTTTCGTCAACTCCGTGAGGAACATGATTTTTTCACAATCTGTAGAACTCCATCTCTAGCAACTCTTGTGACTTTACAACCAATCGATCGCTATCCTACTCTCGACGCGGCAATCATATTTTCCGATATTCTTGTAATACCTCAAGCCCTTGGTCTAGAAGTTGAAATGATTCCTGGTAAAGGCCCGCATTTCCCCTCCCCTCTCGTGACACCTGCCGACATGGCTCGTCTCAAATCTTTCGTCGACGTTGAAAAAGAATTATCGTACGTGTTTGAAGCAATCACCATGACGAGAAAGGCCTTGAACGGTAGAGTTCCGTTGTTGGGGTTTTCGGGCGCCCCTTGGACGCTGATGGCATACATGATTGAGGGTGGAGGCAGTAATAGTCTACACAAGTCGAAAACGTGGTTGTATAGATATCCGGTCGAGAGCCACGAGTTATTGCAAAAATTAACAGATGTGATTGTTGAATATCTAGTCAGACAGGTGAAGGCTGGGGCTCAGGTACGTTATGGAGTGACAGAGATGGGAGTTAGGATGAGGATATGACTAGTGTCAGGACTATGAAAGTATGAAGTCGCAGCTTACATGATAGAGAATATATGGGAACGTTTGGTTAACCCTTTGCGATCGGTAGATTTTGTACTTATTAGTCTCTTTTCTTTCTCCTTATCCAGATGCTCCAAATCTTTGAGTCATGGGGTGGCGAACTGTCACCACAAGATTTTTCAACGTATTCACTCTCATACTTAACCCAAATCTCTACCCGCGTGAAATCTACGCTCCGAACACAATCTCTTCCCATCGTCCCGATGACCATTTTTTGCAAAGGCTCCTGGTACGCCCTACCAACACTCGCTAACCTGTCCTACGATGTCATATCGCTTGACTGGACTATCGATCCCGCACACGCTAAACAAGCTACAGGAGGAGGTGTTACTTTACAGGGTAACATGGATCCGAGTATATTATATGGAACTGAAGAGAAAATTAGGAAAACCGTTACAGAGATGATAGAAGCGTTCGGAAGCAATAAGAGATATATAGTCAATCTCGGACATGGTATATTACCTACAGTGGATCCGGAAAACGTCAAGATTTTTTTAGAATGCGTACATGAAGTTGGACGAGAAGTTGCAAGGAGAGAGCAGAAATAATGTGAAGACGTAAGCGAATGGCTGAGAACTGTAAGGATTATCGAAACTGTTGGATCTGAAAGAGCGAATAGCAGTTGAAAGAATCAGTTTTCAACTCTAGCTCAATTTTCTCATCCAAGATAGAATTTTAATTATATACACACAGCTTTTTTCAAAGCTATTTGTATAGGTATCCTATTGATTGACCATGTTATAATTAATTATACTTTTTGGAATGATGCAAAATTCTCTGCTCTGTAGATGTAACTAATGGGTTAATGATGATGAATTTGTGTCAATCATAACAAGCCTATCATTGTTGACAAAGAATGTAAGCGAGGTTATAATGCGTGCTTGAACACTATGTACCACTTGCTCGTGTCGATCCTTGTATTTGGTAAGCGCCTTGGTGCGAAACGATTAATATTCAAGGTTTTACTTATTCCTTCTCGAGACCTTTTTTGCTCAACACATTACCACAAAATTAACTTCCCAATAGGGCAATCGTTGGATTTGTGATATATCAGATTAGCCTTCACTGCCGTGGCGTATATTAATGTTATTGGTTTCTGGGTGTTTGCCTTTGAATAAGTGCTGGCTCGAATTGATCAAGCCTTTCCTGACTCTTTTTGCATTGTCCGTTGCACTGACACACTGTGTTCGTATGTGAATGTGTTTTGTTTCAATTTGGTAACGTGTATATGCATGTCTCCATTAAAGTGATTCATAGATCACATGAAGAGGCCGTATGCCATATTTTCATAATAGTTTGTACTCGCATCATCTGTTAGATTTATCATAGAGACAGCATGACATTTTTGCAGCTTGCCAATAGTAATAGTGGTCCGACTTTTTCAATATTCATCAATTTCGCTTCGTCCCCTATATGGAGGCAGGGATGGTCACGATTGCGAACGAGAATATCGAGTGCTTATGTTCAGGTAACAGTAAAAACACGATACAACAAATTTGGATAGGTTAAGGGATAACAAATATATCATAATAGCTGCAAATTTGAATTAAACCGCGTATTCTGACACAAAAGGTGTGCTGGGGGTACCAATTCTAGCGAAACAGTTATCACTGATAAAGATTGTGAAATATCTTTGCACATGAAACTTTGTCACAAGAGTGAAGATTTAGTCAATCGAATATATATAATCATAAAACATACTTACCTTTATATAATGCGCGCTACCACCATTTTACTTTCAACTCATTTGTCACTAAAGGTGGTATTGATACTTTCAGGACTCATTAGACCGCGATAACGGGTATTACGTGATTATATATAATTCGTTATATTAATATAGACAGAAGTCCGTCGTTTTTGGCGGAACGCTTTTCGTTAAAGCGGGCTTTACTGTGTTGAAATTTTTAACGAAAGAGTGGGACTATGGTCAGTGAGGGGAGTTATGTTAACATAAATGACATTTTACAAAGTATATGGTATCAGAATAATATGATTTAATGTAGTGATGTAATGGCATGTGCAAACGAAGCAAAATATGGTTTATAAGCGAATAAATTAAGTGAAAAAATTATATGAAACCACATAAAGTTAAAAGTGTCCAACACTTTACAAAAAAAATAATTAATATGCTTTACTAAACATTTTTATCAGCCAAATAAGTAATTTATACTAAATTATTACTACACAGTCAGTCTCGATAAGTCGGTCAATCTATGTAAATCCTCGATAAGCTGTAAGTCGGCCAAACGAGTCTTAGCACGTGATAGTTGTATAGCCGATCACAGTACGATAATTAATAACAGATCTTTACTTATTTAGAATTATGATTAATGAATAAAACAGTCATTAGATCATACGATTAAAGCAGTAAACATGTCATTTAGAGGCGTTTTGAATCGTCATTAGATCATACAATTAAAGCTAAATGTTATGTATTCGTGTAGACCAAGACTTTTTATATAAAAAATGTGATCGTTATTATTATTATTATTATTATTATTAATTAATAAAAAGATTAATTAAAAGACTTAATCATGTGATTCTCGATAAGTCGGTTTTCTCGATAAGTCGGCCATTAGAGGTCAAACCAAGTTGGCCGACTTATCGAGACACTGTGTATATCGATATTTCATGCGTTCAAATACAAGTTAAAACGAAATCTATGATATCTAGTAACATAAATTATATACTCGTTGAACATTTATTTATTGAGATACCATAGCGCTAACTTCCTATGTACAGTCAAACCTGGTTATAACGAATTCGACGGGACCAGAAAAAATATTCTTATAACCTGAAATTCCTTATAACCAAGGTTACTTTTACAGCGAAGATTATAATTATTTATAATTAGGTTCATTATATCCAGATCACTAGGAATGAATTTTTTTATAATGCTAAATTCACGAGCTAAATCAATACCAGTAATTTTCGGATTCATTTGTTTTTTTAGACATAACTTCTTTTTCTGTTCGCCTGTTAACGCATTACGCTTTAAATTTCGCTTTTTTGTATTTAAATTTTCTGACACTATAATAATAAGACTTTTTCATTATTATCTTGAAGACAATGTGCCATTATAGATTTAGGTTACACTAACGGTTATAACGAATATCTACAGTATCTGTTCGTAACGAATTTATGGTGGTACAATTTTTTATAGTGAAGGTCGGTCTGAAGATCTTCGTTATAGTCAATTAGCAGTTGTTCTGCCAAATTTTCGTTATAAGCATTATAACCAGGTTTCTTAATGAAATTAGCCATATACTCAAATTTGATTGGCTTAAGAGAAAATCTTCATTATAAACAGATCTTCGTTATAACCAAGCTTCGCTATAACCAGGTTTGACTGTAATTTAGCTGATGACATTTTGGTGAGGTTTTGCTCAATTTATAGCTGTGGCTTATGCCCAAATCCGTGAACTAAATTTTAGTGATATTTTAGACCTATTGCAATGCGACTAAAACGCTTAGCTTTCAATATAAACCTCAACAAGCTATATTTATACCTTTTGTATTATAAGCGAATGCGACTAGCATCTGGGTATAAAAGCAAGATGAATTCACGTTCACCAAAACAGAAACATGCTGCGACGTGTTTTCACACAAAAAGACTGTATTTAATCGCGAGCAAAACATTTGCATTTTCGTTATATTCATCATCTAACAAGAATCTGTGTGCAGACAAGAATGCTAATCGCGTTTCTATTTGCAGAAATTCCTGCACAAAGTTGCAGAAGTTTTTCTGCTTCTGCTATCTGTCAGTTGGTTGTTTACCAACCAGATCAGTTCACACGTGGTTTTGACCATTGCATGCTTCCTTTCCTATATCAACAACCACCAACAAGCTGCTGTGCACATAGTGCTTGACAAACTGAAAAGCGTCTGCAAAATACACAATGATTGCAAGTGGTTCAAATCACACAACAAATATCGAACGTCCAGCTCTTTCAAACCAACCAAATCGTACGACGAGGACGTTCTAAAAAGTCCTTTAATGACAATAGTTTGTCCAAAATGTGTTGCAAGGTTAAGAACGACTCGGAAAGGAACCTTTACAAACAGAAAACGAATCTCAAACCCAGAACCTTACAATTGATAACGAGAGATTATAGCGAAAATTAATACTTGAGCGAGCCCAAAGAATAGGGACAGTTATCGCCTTCAAGGGGCCGACTGCTCCCTCCCTTGCAAGCTCGCGATTGTTTTGTCGCTTACGCAAAATAAAGCAATCTGATGTAATCTCCACGTGACTCATTCGTTAAATTTTGCCATCAAACGGGAGTGGCTGCGCACTTCGTTCTTTCACACGTTGAAACGCAAAACATGACCACTGTCGAAGAATCTTACTTTACGGAGACCTCTCCCGAAGAGTGGAATTTTATCGATTTCTATCGTTATCGCTTGGCCTCCTTAGACTTACAGTTTTCAAAAAGAAGCGTTTAACCTTAAAAAATTCCTTGAAACTTTGAAAAAGAGCAACTGTCCCCGAGTACAAACAAATGCCGATCGCTTACTTTCGGAGTTCAAGGTCAGAATCACCTTTAATGGCTAGCACGAGCAATATGGGGTTCTCGCCTAGTTAGAGCTACACTCGACTTCCATGACAGGGAGGGTCATCTACGTGTTGATCCTCTTTTGAACTACGTGCTCGTCGTGGTGAGCGAAACCTCAAGCGGTCAGATATGACCCACATGAGAAGCTGGGGCATCTACGTGTTGCTCGAGTGACGATCTACGTGTTCTTCATGTTTTGCTGTGCTAGCCTTGCATTCTGCTTGTATTTGTAGTGACTTTATCATTGCTATATGTCCGTGTGTTTGCAGCAGATCTTGCACTAATCATGTTTTCTGTCAATCGCGCATTTTACAAGGACCATCGTAAGAATATGCATGGAGTCGATGAGCTGTGGTATAATATTGAACATCAATATTTGGAAAATATGTCAAAGATCCGTTCGGTATGAATGATCATGCAATACCTGATATGTTCTACTGACTTTTCTGCTAATTTCATATTCTTCTAAGCTAAGATGCAAGGTGACAATAAAGGGCAAGACCCAAGAAATGATGGAAGACCTCGCTGAAGAAACCGTTGTTGAAAGTCGAGTCACCACCTCTGCAAAGCGTAAACATAGTGATGCCTTTGAGAATCTCGAAGATATAAAAGATCAAGAAGAAAGTACAGAGCCTGAAGGACAGGAAGAGTGTACAGATTTTGAACCTGATGATGACTCTGTAGAGTCTGAAGAGCAGTACCTAAAGTCTGGAGAGCAAGAACTTTTCACTGCGATCAAGGAAGCTATTGAGATTGTGCAAAGGGACCCTTCGGGTCATTTAAGGTGTATATTTGTTGCTTGCACTTAGATTATAAGCCAAGGCCTTATTCATTTTTGCTTCATCTACAGTCCAATGTATTATCTTATACTTGATCTGCGTCCTCCGTCCATAGGGATTTCCCAATTTCGGGCATCCCAGTACCTCAGTGAATCTCATTTGAAAATCATTAAAGAAAGGGCAGAAGCTGCCAAAAGCAGCAGGTTTGATCCTCCTCATCATGTACAGAAGCTACTTAGTAGTTTTGGAGAGCTTCCTGGAACAAGTTGATGTTATCAGTAGGAACGTCATGGAACTCAAATCCGAAGTAGTCTGCATGACTGACGAGGTGTTGCAATTCCCATCCAGCACGTGATTTGCCAATCCCCGATCCGCCAGGAACCAGCATCATAGTGTGGACTTTGTGATTGATATTTCCATGTTTGTTGTAGTTCGAGGTGACAACAGGTATAGCTTCTTTGATAAATCTTCAGTGATCATAGAAGTTGTGTGAAAACTTTGGTAGATCGTGCTGATGCCTTAATATTAATGTCTTCCCTGCCAGAACAGATGTAAAAGTCATATCTATGTGGGCTTTCTTTGCAACAGGCATGGGCTCTGATTATGGCACCAAATTAATGGAAAACAGAGGGAGTTAGTCGACGTCACGAGTGAGTGGCAAGAACTAATCAATGACGATATGTGTCATATACGTACCAGATGGGGCATACACAAAAACCCAGATATTTTCAGCGAAGTGCTTTTGGGCTAAAGGTGATTCTATTTCGAGGTGTGCAAGGACTGCAGCAGGATCCTCCAAGGCCCTAATAATGGCAGCTAGTGTCTTTTGTGGATGTACTTCAATTGCCCGGCTCCCATTTTTGCAGTCCTTTAAGACCTTGATAGTAAGGTCAGAGGCAGCAAAGGCATCAAGCTTGGGTGCTGCTTCCTTCTTGACTGCTTTCTTGAGATCAGCCACATCATTAACTTCCTCCAAAGAGACTTTGTCCCAGGCACTTTCCGGATTCATCAGCTTGTACCAAGCCTTCGGAGATGGCATGTCAGTGTTTGTTGACAAGTTTATCTGGAACAGTTTAGGGACTTGAAATGGGTAGCTAAGATCACAATTTAGAGACAGTTAGTATGTTCTCTCTGCAAAATAGTATGAGCAAGCAGTACCTTTGGTGAATTGAACGACACTTCGCTTGTAGGCAAAACCATAAAGAAATATGTTTGCAAGCGCTCACAGCGAAATTTCTTCTGAAGCAAATACCAATATGTCATGTGTAAAGGTTCAGCATCAACACAGCGGGTGTGAGTTGAACAGAAGACTCGAAATGGCCGGAAAAAACTGTAAGCAGCCACTTCGCAATTTTCAACAAATCAGTCACATGGGATTACATCAGATTGTTTTTATTTGCGTAATAGTAAGAGATCAATAAAAACATCAACCATTGTGAGCTTGCAAGGGAGGGAGCAGTCGGCCCCTAGACCTGCCTTGAAGGCGATAACTGTCCCTATTCTTTGGGCTCGCTCAGCTATTAATTTTCACAATCCTCCTCACCATACTCTTTTCTCTCGTTTTCTATCCATGACGCTATCAATTCAAAGGTTCTGGGTTTGGAATTCATTTTGCACTTGTAGAAGTTCTCTACTGTAGAAACTCCAATGCTGCCCTTCCTCAGGTCTTCAATCTCACTCTTAACCTTGCAGTACATTTTGGACAGGCTAACATCGTCAGTCTTTCTCTTTGCCTCAATATCAAAGAGCTTTTTAAACTCGTTCCAGAGAGTTAAATGTCTCCATCATACGATTTGGTTGGTTTTAGGTTTGGGAGGGCTAGACTTTTGATGGTTGTTGCATGGTCTAACCCAGTTGCAATTATTGTGAATTTCACGAAGATTCTCATTAATATTGTTGAGTTTGTCAATCACATGCTATGTGCAACAGCTTGTTGGTGGTTGTTGATATACAAAAGAAAGCATGCAATGGTAAAAACTGCATGCGAGTTGATCTTGTTGGTGAATACCCAAGCAAAGAACAAAAGCGCAACAGCTTCTGCAACTTTGTAGAGAAACTTCTACAAATGGAAATCAGTTAGCATTCTTGTTTACATGCAGACTTTTGTTAGATGATAAATGTAACAAACCATTTTTATTGAATAAAAGCTTTTTCGATAATGCCAATTTTTTGCTCGCAATTTAGATAGTCTTTTGTGTAGTTTGAAAATACATTGCAGCAGGTGTTTTTGTTTGGAGAATGTGAATTCATCTTTCTTTTATACCCAGATATTACAATAGTTGCATTCGCTTTATAATAATAACTAGAATAGGTCTAAAATGCCACTAAAATTAGTCTGGATTGGAGCATGAGCCACAGCTACAAAACGAGCAAAACCTCACCAAAATGTTATCAGCTAAATTAGTTCATTTTCCAGCCGCATCAGCCTCTTTTTGCTCACATGATCAAATGTTCACTTTGTCTGGTTTTGTTGCAGTCTGCCCCATATAATAATAATAAGATGGTTACTATTAATAGTCCAGAGCTGGCAGTAAGTTTTTCTTTATGAGTTGAAAAGCTAGTTGCTAATTGCATGTGTGCATGTTATTGTAGTTTGAACGGAATGGTCCGACGTTACACAGACATTTGATCATAGGAGATTGCAAGTCATAAGTCAAACAAAATGTTCAGTGACAGTTGCCAATAAAGATCCTATAATAATAAAAACCCAAAATGTTTAGTGACTATGTACTTGCTGTCTAAAAGCAGCTTTAGCAGTTTTCTGTAGTTGCCAATAAGGATCCTATAAAAACAAAATGTTCAGTGACTAATATTAATATTAAAGACTTACAAGAACAACTTATCAATAACAAACGAGAATTCGACAAACTTATCAAGGACAAAGCTGAAAGATTCTAAAATCAAAGATTATCAAGATGAAATTCAAAATTTGAGAAACGATTACTACATGAAAAGATTAAGAATGTTATTTATTTATTGATAAATGAATATTATACGATAAAATTAAAATAATAATAATTAAAAGAAATTTAATATCCTTAATCTCCCTACGTATACCCTCCATATTCAATTGTTGAATTTTAAGTTGAACTTCGAGATTCTCCAATGATTTTCTTATTTCGATTTCAAGAACCTCTAATCTTTTCGAAATCTCTTCTACATCTTTCTGTTGGAGCCCAATTAGTCCAAGAAGTTTTTCTAATGTTAATTCCAATTTTGAGATAATCTGTCGAGTTTCAATAAAATTAATTAAATCTGAAACAATATCGGCTTCATTCGTCAATAGGATATTGAATTCAGATGAAGAAACTTGACTAACTGCCCCTTCACTGAATTTTGGGGCTACCAAAATTCCAATAGCGCACTTGGGAAGGTTTCCAAGAACTCCTTCGAGTTCACGAACAACACCAGGAACTTATTTATAATGATTTTAGTTATTAAATTGTTTATATTAAAAATAACATTTATCTTACCAATCGATCTTCTATGTTTTTTACATTGAATTATAATCGGAATTTTTTTATACATTCCGATTATGTCTATACCACCATCTCCCCCGTCTCCTGATTTAGAGCTGATAATATTAGAAGAAATGAGTATTATTAAAGTAGTAATACCACACTTTAATTACATAATCGCTTGTATGTTCAAGATCTGAAAGTGCCAGTCCAAGACTTTGTGCATAAGTTGTTAATGCACAAGCAACAGCAACACAGATTAATTCTAAGACACGACAGGTGGCGGGTAACTCAACAAGTTTCTCTAGTTTTTCAAAATATCTGACTCCAAGACTTGCAGCTAGCTTGAAAATGCCGTAACCCGAAAATATTGTGATTAAAACCGAACACATATTCTTTGATGTATGCCATTGACCGAGCATTAGTCTACATTGCGAATGTGCTTCTTCGAACGGAATTAAACGACGAAAGAGTGCTTCATCACATACAACATCGAGATAACCACTGTTCTCCGTACCCACATCATCAAAATACATTTTACATGCATTATGCACGTTTGCATTACAGTTCGGGCTTTCTCCTGGTTTCAGAATTACAACGTTGGGTGTGGGGAAACGTTACAGCCATCAACTACAGTTTTTCTAATAGCATCTAAAACCGTATCTTGGCACCAGGTATTTGGATTTTCTTGAAAAACTTCATTGATAATACTTGCATATGTGAGCAGTAAGCCTTTGGTGTAGTTTGTCTCCCCGAACAGAATTGTTTTTCGGTTATCATTATTATCACTTCCGATTGTTTGTATTGATTCTCCCAAGTCGAACTGAAACAGTAGCATGAATGCTACGTCTAGCAGCATCAAAAATGTTTCCATATGCAAAAGTTTTTTCCACAAAATCAATGTTATCCACAACGCAAATATTCCACATCGTTTCTTTTTTTATGATTCTATTCTCTGGTTTCGTGTCCCCTAACTCTTTGCCGTTCTAACGTCTTTTCATGATGTAAGCTGTGAGGAATGACATGAACCGTCCATATTATCGCGCACAGTGTGTTGGGGTTGGTACAGACTTCCTAATACTCGTGTCATCCATATACTCGTGGATGGAAACTCGATGTTTAAAAGCATCGATAACAAAGATATCGCAATTTTTTTTGTTTTTATATCGTTATATGGAAGCTCCTCTAAACCTCTGTTCGTTCGGCGTAGATTATTTATGTGCTTTTCTTTCTTAATACGGCTGCAATGAGTGATGTAACAAAGCCGGTGGAAAACTTGCTTCATATTCAACTATCGAGGACGGTAATTTAAGCCCTTTTTTATCCATTCTCTAGATTTCCATAACTCATTGCCTAAGCTGCTGATGCAACTTCCGGTGTCAGTCTATTATCCTCAAGTTTATTGGGGGAATTCAGTTTTAAAAAGACTTTTAATATAATGGGACTTATTGATGGGTAACGTGTTCTTTCCTTCAGTAAATGTCGCTAGCGAAGATGACAGCCATGTCAAAAGCTTTTTTTTGTTATCAATATCGTTTGATTTAGCAGTGTTCATTATCCACTGCCCGAAAATCTGAAGACATCGTCATTATGCTTATCGTCACACGAAAAACTGTGCCCAGATCGTATAAGTGTCCACCATTTTGCATACCGTTAAACAAAGATTTCAAATATCGGAATATGCCAATATATAAAGCACAGTGAAGGTCGCTGGATCCGGGTAACTATAGTTGATTCGGCGCTTCAATACGGAGAAGTATCACATGTTTGTGTAAGCAAAACGAGCTAGATCGCGACTCTTCTTCTTCCATCTAGACATGGCAATCTGAGTGAACGCGAATTCTTTTGGAAATACGGTCGAGATTATCCCAGCGCAACCCTTGAACAAACGGATGCTGCATATGGCGAATACAAAGACTTCTACTTTAAGTACCTTCGGGACAACCCACAAACTGCTATGAGGAATACCTCGGGACCAAGCAAGGTAAGCAACACACGTTTATTGGGAGGATAGAGGAGCAACGGGGAGAAGAGTTTGAATGCTGTTACTGGTTTTGTGCTATATTGCAAGAGAGAGAGAGAGGCAGTTGGGCGTTATTAGTTGGGACAGAGCAGAGTTGTAGCAAAGGTTAGGTTATACATAAAAGGAGATAAGAAACAATATGGTATTAGAATGTATATGCATTCCATGACTACTGTTTCACATACAGCAACCATCCTTGCTGTCATGCAATTTTCTGTCACATAATTTACATGGAAACAAGTTCAAGACTGCCAGGATTACATTGAAAATGAACGGAAATTTGGCTTCAGCGTTTTATATATTAGACATAGTTGTGCAACTATTTTCGTCCTATGTTTATGATCTCATCTGAACATACAAACATCGAAATAAGGTTACGCATA